ACTACAGGCACGCGCTACCACGCCCAGCTAATTTTTGACTTATTGTAGAGATGAGGTCTCTCTGCCCAGGCGGGTCACGAACCCGCGGGCTCCGGCAACCCACTCACCTCAGCCTCCCAAAGGCGCGGGATTACAGGCTGAGCCACCGAGCCCGGCCGAGGCTGTTTTTTGATATGCAAGATGGACACAAGCGAACCTATCCTTGACATTGGCCTATGGATAAAATGATGTATAGACATATGGAGCCCAGCACGACATCAATAGTAGAGTGATCCCCTGCCCTAGGTTGATCCCAGGACTGAGGGGTTCCCAGGACATGGGACATTCCATGCTAAAACCGGGAGAGTCTTTGGCAAGCTAGGACAGTTGGTCACCCTACACCAGCGGCTCTCCTACCTTAATCCCTTGGGTAGTAATTGATACGTAAAGTACTAAAACAGCAAAGTTTTGTTTTGGGGTTTTTTTTAGTTGCAGTCTCACTCTGTCGCCCAGGCTGGAGTGCAGTGACACACTAACGGCTACCCCAGCTTCAACCTGCTGGGCTCTGGTGATCCGTCCGCCTCAGCCTTCCAAGTAGCCAGAACTACAGGTGCGTGCTACTATGCCTGGCTAATTTTTTACTTATTGTAGAGACAAGTTCTCACCAAGTTGCCCAGGCTGGTCTCGAACCCGTGGGCTCAGGCAATCAACTTGCCTCAGCCTCCCAAGGTACTGGGATTACAGGCTAAGTCACTGAGTCCAGTCAGAAACTATTTTTTTTAGTCAAGGTCTCACTCAATCACCCAAGATGGAGTGCAAGTGTCATTCTCATAGCTTACTGCAGCCTCAACCTCCTGGCTCAGGCAATCCTCCCACCTCAGCCTCCCAAGTAGCCAGGACTATAGGCATGTGCGCTGGAAAAATTGTTATTTTATTGTAGAGACAAGGTCTCACTATGTTGCCCAGAGTGGTCACAGACTCCTGGGTTCAAGCACTCCACCTGCCTCAGCCTCTCAAAGTGTTGGGATTACAGGTGTGAGCCACCACACCCAGCCCCGAGGGAACTTTTTGGGTGGTAGAAATGTTCTTTGTATTTTTATTTTTTTTTTAATTTCCTCTCCATAATAATTGGATGGATGAGGAAAATGTTCTATATCTGGGTTATGGTGATGTGTGCCCAGCGTAAAACTTGTGGATTCTTTGGCTCAACTCTCTAAAATGAATTTAAGAGTGGCCAGCAAAGTTTTAAAACAAAGTTTATTAGAGAAGGAAGAGGAGAAAGATAGAGAGACATGCCAAAGCTGGCATGGTTGAGAGGAACACACTTTTTGCCTTTTACAATAGATCTGAGATACCTTAACAATGACTGATGTGCTAAGGAGGAGCCCAGGCAACTGTCACTCTGGAGAGATTGACATCTTTTTGTTTTTGTTTTTTTGAGTTGGAGTCTCAGTCTGTCACCCAGGCTGGAGTGCAGTGGCACACTCACGGCCACCCCAGGGTCGACCTGCTGGGCTCCGGCGACCCGCCCGCCTCAGCCTTCCAAGTAGCCAGAACTACAGGCGCGTGCTACCATGTCTGGCTAATTTTTGATTTATTGTAGAGATGAGGTCTCGCTAAGTTGCGTGGGCAGATCTCGAACCTGTGGGCTCAGGCAATCCACTCACCTTGACCTCCCAAAGTGCTGGGATTATAGGCTGAGCCACTGAGCCTGGCCTCTATGATCTCTTGATTACCTGTCTGGGAACCACCTTGATGGAGTTTTCCTTTGGCAAGCTGAGGGGGTGGGACAGACTGAATTCACATTCCAGCCTGCTGGGCTGTTAAGCCTGCCGACAGGATGTCTGGACGCCTTCTAAAACCTGTGGACAAGAAATGTATCCATCTATGCCTCAATTGCACTAGCTAGCCGGCCTCAACACATTCGCCAAACTCGTTGATGCATATGTTTTAAAAGAGTGAATTTAGCCGGGCTCGGTGGCTCAGCCTGTAATCCCACGCCTTGGGGAGGCTGAGGTGAGTGGATTGCCTGAGCCCGCGGGTTCGAGACCCGCCTGGGCAGGGAGACCTCATCTCTACAATAAATCAAAAAATTAGCCAGGCGTGGTGGCGCATGCCTGTAATTCCGGCTACTTGGAAGGCTGAGGCGGAAGGATAGCCGGAGCCCAGCAGGTCGAGGCTGCGGTGGCCGGGAATGGCCACTGCACTCCAGTCTGGGCGACGGAGTGAGACTCCAACTCAAAAAAAAAGTGAATTTAATTGGTTGAACATTGTACCCCAATAAACTTGGCAATACACAATGGTCGGCTTGCCAGGTTGTGGTGGAGCCAGCCCCACCTTGTCTGAGTGGCTCTGGGGAGCAGTCCAGCCGTTAGCCCCTTGTGTCCACCGAGGCAGCACAGGCCCCGTAAATCTGCCCTGCCCAGCATGGAGCCAGGGCCTGGGACGATGGGCTTTCCAAAGTCCAGAGACCAATGTGAATGAAGCCCCCATACTCCCACCCCAAGGCCCCACATACCCACAGAGCAGAGCCTGGCAACTTTGGCTGAGGTTGGTCTGCACCCCTGGGCGGGGCCCTCTCGGAGTCAGGCCACCCTGAGCATGACCACCATCCTCGAGAGCTCCCGGCTTGAGTCACTAAAACACTTCCCTGACCCTGATCTTGGACCCCCAAGGTTGAAGGGCCCTATGGTCCACTGGTGGAAGGGCCTAGCGGGAGAGAAGCCTGTCTGGGCTGGTCCATGACTGCCCTTGGCCTCTCTCTGACCCTGATGCTGAGCTCCACACACATGGGCAGGCCGTGCTCAAAATGTCCCCAGTCATATGACAATCAGAGCTGCTAACCTTGTGGTGTGCTTTCTATGTGCCTGGATCATATCTGTGTGTGTGTGTCTGTGTGTGTGTGTGTGTGTCTGTGTGTGTGTGTATGTGTGTGTATTCTGAGTTGGAGTCTCACTCTGTCGCCCAGGTTAGAGTGCAGGGGCACGCTCACAGCCACTGCAGCCTCCACCTGCTGGGCTCAGGCGAGCCTCCCGCCTCAGCCTTCCAAGTAGCTGGAACTACAGTCATGCGGTCCCATGCCTGGCTAATTTTTGATTTATTGTAGAGACGAGGTCTCACCAAGTTGCCCAGACTGGTCTCGAACACGTGGGTTCAGGCAATCGTCTCACCTCCACCTCCCAAAGTGCTGGGATTACAAGCGTGAGCCACCATGTCCAGCTGGGTCCCATATATTATCGCACTGATTTTTTTTTTATTTGTTGAGTCGAGGTCTTCCTCTGTCGTCTAGGCTGGAGTGCAGTGATGCAATCACAGCTCACTACAACTTCGAACTCCGGGGCTCAAGTGATCCTCCCACCTCAGCCTTTGGTGTTGCTGGGACTACAGGCATGTGCCACCATTCCTGACTCTTTTTTTCTTTTTTCTTTCTTTCTTTTTTTTTTTTTTTTTTTTTTTTTTTTTTTTTTTTTTTTTTTTTTGGAGTAGGAGTCTCACTCTGTTGCCCAGGCTGGAGGGCAGTGATATGCTCATGGCCTCCATAACCTTGACCTGCTGGGCTCAGGCAATCCTTCCACCTCAGTCTTCCAAGTAGCTGGAACTACAGGCATGCGGCTAATTTCCCACACCCGGCTAATTTTTCTTGATTTATTGTAGAGAAGAGGTCTCACCAAGTTGTCTGGGCTGGTCTCAAACTCACGGGCTCAGGTAATCCTCTCAACTTCAGTCTCCCAAAGTGCTGGGATTATAGGCATGAACCACCACACCTGGCCCATGATTCTTTTAAATTTTTTTTAAAGAGATATGGTCTTAGCTGGGCTCGGTGGCTCAGCCTGTAATCCCACGC